ACAGTAAAATGCTTCAGTAATGAGCGATTAGTTTGCAAAACGCAGTGTATAATGCCGAGAAACAAAAAATATTGTATTGACAAAAATGACGATTTAACTCCCACGAGTGCACGGCAGTAGTTTCGCAAAGGGATTTTAATTTCTTGCATATTTCACGAATTTTCTTTTAATTGTTCGAATTTTGAACTAGATCCTTAAGATGTTCAGTGCTGTTTCAGTATGTGAATGCAGACGATATATTGAGATTGGGAATTGGAAGTTCGGTGAAAGAATGCCTGCAGCATCTAACACTGGATGCCAAACTATCGAAATGCTCACAGTCAGAAAGGATTTCGCGAATGCATACCATACTTACCAACACAGTAATACTGCATATCTTTTGCCTTAATAATTCACATAATTGGCTAGCTGTAATATGACTGTCCTTTAAAGTGACCGTTTAATATTTTGTTTTTCCACCTTTCTGTTAATTTTTGTATGTTTTTTAGTTGTTCGGAGATTTTTTCTTTAGCAGGTAGGTAAATCTAAATTTTATCGCAATGAATTTTAAAATATGAATAGAGGCTGAATTTTTTTTAAACAAGTAAATATAAATCTAAAAAGTCAGTTTAAAAATAGAAACCATCTTTTTTTGCATGATTCTGTCCTGTGAAAGATCGCCCGTACTACTGTGGTGGTGCATTTTGAATATTTGATGCGGCCTGTACACAGGGCCCATGTCTAAGTAAAAGTTGATCGTACCTTATTGGTCTGAACAGTAACAGCAGACGTCCTCAGAAAAGTACTGCTTTCTGCTCAATATGAGTTAATTTGAGTGCCAACAGTGTCTCAAAACCAAACTCTCACTTATAGGCTCAGGCACGACCTAAAGCTTAATTTGGAAATTTTTGGTTGCACATAGGTGCAGAATATCGTTATAAAATTAGAGCTTTCTAGATTAGCTGGTTGGCGAAATCGTTTCCCGTTAAAAATATCTGGACTGAAGGGCTCGGCAGCCGCTACTTCCTGCATATGGAGGCGTCCTAGTATCATCGCTAGTGTGGGATACTTGCACACGTTCGAGTGGCCTCAGGATCAAATTTTTACAGTTTACAACGCAGAAGATTACAATCAGGTTGTTTTCTATGCATTGCTCTGTTCAAAAACCAAATTTCAGCCTGTTGTGGCATGCACATGTTTGGGAGTGGCCAGGAATACGTTGTTTTCGTATCGCCATTTCTCAATGACGCTTGTTGACGAAGCATCGCTAGTGCTCGAGCCGACCACTATTCCGGCAGTTGCTGCTGCGGATGTTTTCGTGCTTGTTGGCGACCACAGGCAACTCACGCCGCTTGTTCGTTCCCAGCAACTCAGGTTTGTCTTTTGCAAAATTCACACCGCACGAAACATCCACAAATTTGACAGTGACTCGAAATTATTGTCGTCTGCAGCAGCTGCGCAAGTCTTCACAGCCTCTCTTCGAAAACGCTTTTTCCGGAAACACAGCAGTTCTCGTTTCAAAAGTGTGTTTTAGGGGAACTTTGTCTTTGGTTAGACTTGAATTTTAGCTACAAATCTGCGAAATTTAATGCAGGATATTCTCGGTCTGCCATGGTATATTTCTTGCGGGTAGTAAGTTATTGTATAACAGTAAGATT